GAGCCGAATCAACCGGAATCCAGGTTCGCTTCATGCGTCCTGCGTCACGGGCACTGCACTGCTGCCAAAGGGGCATAGTCCACAAAGCATACAGACATGCTTGCTATCCCCAGATGTGTCATAGTCTTTTTTTTCTTTCCGATGCAAGGAATCCAGAACTTGATTGTTCATCTGCACCGTGAGCGAACAACGGCGGTGATTGGCTCACGATGGGTGGTACAAGCAACCGACCTCACCCAGTCCACCTTGCATACCGTAATGGGTACATGCTCAAAGAAGGCCTAAAGGCTGTTCCAGTGGATTCTATCCCGTCAATGCGGTATGCAGCATACTGTTGTCTCACAAGCGGGGGAGAAGCCTAATCCTCAATCAAGGAGGTTCCCATCGGGCTGCAAATTGATCATCAGAAACCGGTCTGGTCTGCACGGGAAGGTGTAGGTATCCGGAAGGAGTCCGAGGACGTACACTAACAAGGACAGGATGGAATCACAGCAGCCAGCCTAGACTGTTGAGTTGGTGTTGCGTGAGTCATGAGGAAAGATGCCCAGTCGGCAACCCGCGGGATCGAGGAGATCGTCTGTTGTCGGCTTTTCGTGAAGACTTGAGAAAGCTGATCATTATCCCGCTAGTAATCACTAGTTTGAAGTCAATTCAGAACCTTGTTGTCATCATCAAAAATGGCTGGAATGTGGATGAAAGTATCAGGCGATTCGATCTGCATGCATTGACCAAGAGGGGAACACAGCTGTCGGTCACTTACTGGGAGAGCACCTCTCAAGCCAGTCATCACCAGAGATACAACTGACTTAACAATGACGCTGGGCTCAGAACCATCAAGGATAAGGGATCCGATAATATACATTGATATCAGGCCAGCTTCATTCGAAGGCCTGCAATGTTCTAAGCCGGGAGACACGGCTTGCAACGAAGATCCCATTGATGGACCGACCGACAAGGTAACAGAAATCAGATGATCACAAGAAAAGCTTTTCTCAATTGTCTGTAAGTCTATTCCTCTATGGTCTTTCTCATTATTGAATCGACGTTGGGATTGGCTTTGACTCCAGCAGTAGCTGGCGCTAACAGTGGGAAGGGTCAAGGAAGTAGGACATGATCGACAAGCACAACCGACCAGTAGATCACCCTACAGACAGCACCTGCAACCATCATGTGAGTGAGCTTCGTCGCGCATCCGACAATCTCCAGACGAGCGCAGGTTTCTTTGTCATATTGCGGAACAATCGGCAGTTGGCACCCATGTAGAGGATTTGATTCATCGGCTTCATCACGGGATTGACTTTCAGCCTTGTCAATAGAGGCAGTAGCTTTCAGTCTACAGGGCTGGGATCTGCAGTGAAAGCGATGGACATCTCTAGTTCGCTGCAATGACGTTTGAAGCTCATTGACCGAATAACCGTACGGACGTGAGAGCAGACCGTCGTATGATTTGAACCTTCTACTGTCACCTCGTTTCTATCCGAGAAAAGTCCGACCGCAGACAGGTGTCCCAGCATGAGTCAAGTGTTTGAACTCTCTTTGCAGTCTATCTACCTACCCCAGAAGAGTGCCCATTCAATCCCTTGCCGAGGGTCTGAAACTCTATACTCCTCAACCCCGTCCTTGGAGGGGTCGGTCTGCTTAGCTGCGCAGGCACTGGTACATCTGCAGTAGAATGTCTGCGCAGTACGACAGTCATTTGATCCACCAGTTACAGATTGAAAAATCCGTCAAGCATGATCTATGCGATTGGTCTTTTCCTACTATCCAAGTACCATAACACTATTACATCACAAGCGATTCGTAGTATGACTTTTGAATCAACCTGCAAAGGGCAAACCCTTCACACAGATGTGATGCCCTTGCCCTGACGCCAGACTCCCCAAGTCCTGCCCTCACGCTATAAATACAAACATAGTAAGAGGTAGATTTTTTTCGTCCACATCCTTGTTCTCGATATCTGAATCGAATCCACGTGGAGTCAAACCATATTACCACGACGTGACATTCCCCAGGTCGTGCTCCTATTGTATCGTTAGTCATTCCGCTCCAAATATCCCAGTAGATACATCACCTGACGTACCTTAATGTATTCGCTTCCTTTTTCCAGGTATTCCTCCCGTGACACAGAGTATTTCTTCAATCCCGATCCGGACGCCCATTGTGCTGCACCCTTCCATGCGTCCAGCACCGGGTCCGAGGCCCGGCGCACATTCAGTTGTGCATCTACAGGTAGGTAACTCCCAAGCTCGTTGCGAATTCGCTCATCGAAACCTTTGAAGAGAGTGTTGCCGCCGGTGAGGAACACGTCACGCAGCAGTTTGGCCTGGTCCTCCGGGTTAGAGAACCGCTGATTGACAATACCGGCCGCAATCTCCAAGAGGCCAGCCTGGTCGATGCCGGCAATCGATGGCTTGAAAACAACCTCGGGCACTCGGATCCGCTCAACATTGAGATGGATCTGATGGGCCTCACGCTGACTTTCAGGGTCAAATGGCCAGGGTCCACGCAGAAAAACATGTACCAGACTCTTGGTCCAGTCAGACTGCGCAGCGAGAGTGTGGTTCTCTGTAAACTCTGGATCGTACTGAAGAAGCTCATTCTCAACGTTGTTGAGCATTTCGCCGAGGTCCTCCTCTTCCTCCTCGTCGCTCTGTTCTCCGGTTGCCACTGTGCGATACACACCCCAGTCCTCATCGTTGGCGCCGAAATCGTCGTCGTCACCACCTCTCCTTCGCTTCTTCGGCCCATCTGCAGCGAGGTTTGCAAGGGTTTTCATACGCATCTGGCTGGCGAGCGACTTCCGATTACCCAGATCCGCCTTCATCCTATCGCGCTCCTTGATCCTTTGGAGAATATTCTACGAACAGTTAGTTATGTTGCCGAATTCAAGCAAGAATCAACGCACCTGTCGAGCAGCTCTTCGTTCGGCAACCCAGTTCTCAAAGTCGTTCTCACGCTTCTCCCGATCCAGTCGCTCCTCTTCCTCCTTCCGTGCTCTCTCGCGTTCCTTCTCGGCCTTGGCACGTTGGCGAGCCTCGATGTTCGATTTCATGAGTCGCTGGTGGCGCTTCTCCTTCAAGCCTGCCTCGTCCAGCTCTTCGTCCGGAACATCAAGAAGCGGGAAAGACATATCTTCAGGAGGTTCTTCAGTCTCTTCAACTCCTAGGTCTCGGTTTCTAGAGCGTTTGATGGATCGCTCGAGGTCACGAATCAGCCGGTCAAGATGAGCCTCATCTTTCAGATCCTCAGAATCCAAGATACGTCTCGCTTCCTTCTTGGTTTCAGATGCAAGCCCACGCTGTAGGTCCTTCCAGTACTCGAGTTCCTGCTCTTTCTTCATCAACTTCTCGAGTCGCATTTTTGCGGCCTGCTCCTGCAGGCGACGTCCACTCTCCTTCTTCCGCTCCGCAATCCGCGCCAGTTCCTCCTCAGTTTTCTCTGGAACCACATGCTCTGTATAAGGGTATTGAATGACATGATCCCTGTCCTCAAGCCCTGTCCACTCGAGATAGCTGCTCAGTTCCCGGTCATAGTCTGTAGATACGTAGCAATGTTTGTGAACCAAATCTTCCATCTGGCTTTCGGTCATTCGAGCGGGGAAGGTAGGGTATTTTAGCTTCATAAGCTTGAGCAAGTACTCTGACGCATGCATGCCACCCCAGTTCAACCGCGAACAGTTCGAGAGCAAGGCTTTCGAGTTTAGGACAGGGATGACATGCGTCGATGTGTGGGATGAGGAGATAATCAGGCCATCGGTGCCTTTGTTGTATCGGTACGAAAATAGCGAGTCGATTCCGTAAGCGACAGACGGTGCGGAATAGCACTCGAAGAGAATCTCGTTCATCACTACGCGCGTCAGAGCACACTCCTTCCAGAACAAGCATTTACTCACTTCGTCTGGGGTAGTTCAGATTCGCGATCGGCTCTGTCATTACGATAGGCCGATCAACGCCTCCGTTGGCGCCATCAACTCCCAGCTTGATGAAAACGTAGTCCAGCAGTCCCTCCATCACATCCCAGTTTCCAACCACACTTGTACCGGGGTCAAAAGCATACCGCAGCTGACCTCTAGTCGTAGCATCGACATAGGCGTCGTAACCGATAAATTGACAACCTTTGTTGAGCTTTCGATCGCGGTACCGACTCATCACAGGGGGGAGGATGAAGCGCGGCGACTTGTCGAAAGACCAGCCCGCCTTGAGAAGACTTGATCCTGTAGTAGCAAACCAGAGTCAGTATGCTATGACAGTCATCTGAAACAATCAAGCGAAATAGAACCGACCATTATCAATCACGATAGCGCTTGTAGAGGGTTTCGACCTGCTCCGTTCAAACCCATCAGGTTGCGGCGGTTGATACCCTTTGAACGGATTATCCAGGACATTGTATATTTTCGGGGGAGGCTTCGCCGCGTTCTTCTCGGTGGGAGTGACCGCAAAGCGACCGGGCAAAAGGGTCTGCACTGAGGTAATCGTCATGGCGACTAGTTGTAGAGAACAAATGGGAGCAGCAACTCAGTGTCTGTGGCCGATTTACCGCATCGTCAAATCAGTTTCGAGAAGGAGGTAACAGGAAAGAAGTAAATTTGACAATTCCAAACTGCGCACGACGCTGCTTCGCTGAATCCGTGGATGACGGAGCGAGTGTTGCATCTGAAGAGCGATCGGAAGGAGGAATCTGAGCTCCGGATCCCCAGCTTTGGTCGGCAAGCGACTCTGGCGGCGTTTGTATAACTGCCAAGCCTGACTTGCAGTTGATGAGATTGCTCCACTTACAGGCAATCAACATCAACATTGTCACTTTAAAGATGCATTGGCTATGGGCGGGATATTATACAAAGACTGCTTACTCTTGCGCTCTCCACGTTTAATCGCTTCTATCTCTATTCTTGCTAAGTCTCTACGAAAAAGTGGAAGAAGAATGGCAAGGATTTGATATATGAGGTCGTATCATTCATGACAAGCTAAATTCAGAGAAACAGGCGTGCAATCTCGTCGTCCTTATTGCGGCTCCTTCAGATTATCCGTAGCTACATCAGATCAGCAAGACTGTAGCCTTCTGAGAGGTAGGACAACTCATACCTTCCAAGTGGAAGAGAACGTTAGACTGGTAGTTTTTGAACATCTGAGCCACAAGCTCCACGTTCATGTTCTGGATGTTGACCTCCTGATAGACCACAGTGAGCATCAGCCTATCAACATGTGCAGAAGAGGCATACCTGGAGGCTCTTGTTCATGACCATGATTGACTCGTTGAGTTTCTCCTGCTGGTAATCAGTCATGCAGGCCTCCACAAAGTTGGGTGACAGTAACATACAATGTTGGTGATAATTCGAGAGAGCAATAGCGCTTGCTGGTGCTCGTGTGGACTCTCCTAAGATTATTCATCAGTTTACATATTGACAGAACAAGTACAGAAAGACCTTCTTTTCAACCCACCATTTTGACTTGTTATCGAGATGGCGCGATGTACTCAGTAGAGGCAGTGTTTGTTTATTGCGAGACTGTTAGGTATCAACTGCGAATATCACGTGATCTACAGTTGTCTTTGTTTCCCTGTTATGACTGCGCCCCATGTGCGACAGGAAGTATTTAGAATATGATGTCAAAAAATTCCAAATTTCAGAGATCTGAACTTGCTTAACAGCTATTCTCTTATCCCAACACTGTGCCAATTGACTCTGGAGAGTGTCCGCCGTTTGTCATCCGGTTACCGTACCGGCGGATGACCATGTTCCAGACACTTTGAGCTTCTACCGCGACATCCAGGTTAAGATTCTCTACAACTCCAAGATAGCGCATCACCCACCCATCCGCATCGTTTTTTACAAAGAAAAATCATCAATCATGGGTGCCCCTCCTACTCCTGCCGAAAGTCAGGAACATCAGCAACTCCTCAACCGCCTGGACATCGCCCAGGTCCCACGCCCCTTCCGCAACCCGAACTGGAGGCCATCGCAGCGTCGCAACAAGAACGTCAAACAACTTATCTCCGAGAACTCCAGAAAGGAGGCGTCTGTTATGGCGACACAGGCAAACTCTGGCGCATCGACTCCCTTACAACCCAGCACCGACGGCAGCCAAACGCCCGTTGAAAGCTCCTCTCGGACGAACATCGCCCAGGCGGCGCAGAACCTGTCGACGCTCGTCTTGGAGAAGAACGCAAGGGCCATGCTTCCATCGGGGCCAGCTGTGACATATAGCAACATTGAATCGGCTCCATCACTCCATCCGTCACAGCACACGCGCTATTGCGATATCACAGGGCTTCCGGCACCATACACAGACCCCAAGACTCGGCTCAGATACCATGATAAAGAGGTGTTTGGGGTCATTCGGACATTAAGCCAAGGTGTTCCAGAGAGCTATCTCGAACTGAGAGGAGCTCATGTCGTGCTGAAATAGACGGCCATCCATCTGATGTTACGAAAGCTCTACGTTCGCGCACACCAACAGCAGGTAGGTTGCAATATACTCAGTGAAAACTCAGCTTTCAGATATTAACTTGTTGCTCTATTCAAGACTATCACTCGCAAGATATGAGTGCATGTACGACCAACACAGTCAAGCCCTTTCCACCCGCCGTGCCCCTCTCGAGACAGGTTCAAGAAAGCGCTCCGGCTTATTCGTGATCTTTAAGAGAATCGATCTTCGCCTCGTGCTGGAGCACTCGACTATTACCGACGCTCCACGGACGGAACGTCAGTTACAGCACCCAGGGATGCTGTCGTCGCGGCGTATACTTGGGTTGTATATGGCAGAAGCCAGGAAACGACAGAAGAATACTCATTAGCGAAAGGGTTGTGAACCCGAAAGTGATCATGGCTTATCCATTCTGGACATCCGATTCATCCTTTGATATTTCTGAGTTAGGATCCTAAGTCGGTCCTCTAATGGATTTTTTGTAGTCAATCCAACCAGTTCAAAGTGACCCTTTCCGCCTGACTAGGAGTTCAGCATCTTGAATTGTAGACAGCGGAAACAGGCCATCAATAGGCCATCATAATCTCGTTGCAAGTCAATTTGATAGAGAAGGCAAGAGGACACGAGAGAAAAACACGCAGTTGTGCGGGTTTTCGGTAGTACGTCCAAGCGCAACAGACCGCCCACCGCATCCGGCATAGACCATCCTCAGAACCAAAAACGAACGTGGCAGAAAGGAAAATGTTGGGAGCATGCGTTTATTTACTGTTCTAGGGAAGATTTCTTAAATTTCTGCCAGATTCGAGTACAACAACTCCAGATTCCTCTCTGACTACAAAGTACTCGTCGTCGCGACACTCGGGTGACCTGGGATTCCTATACGCGAGCAGCGAGTCCCCTCAATTTGTGTACAGTGTGCAATAATCTCCGCGGTTCTCCTAGCAAACCCTCAAGATGCCCACCATGTGGCTCTCGGACAACCAAAGTAGGACCACCGGAGCATCATCCGGTAGAAGCGCTTGCTAACAAGTATAACAGAGATTGGTGTTATCTTTTGTTCTGCAGGTAGGCGAGACCGAGTCCACTCCAGGGGACCCTCTCCCCTTTTCTTTGTTCCGCCGATATGCTCAGCCAGGGACTGACGTGGTGCGGCTACAGGGGGTCTGTTCCTGTTCGGAGGCGTTCTGATGTTCTTTGATCGTTCGCTGTATGTATCATTTTGGTCTATTATTTGGGAGCGTTCATGCTAACGTTCGGACCTAACACAGACTCGCGATGGGAAATGTGCGTACCCCATTCTCGCAAATCCTGCGCTGCTATTGATCACGCGACAACCGCCGAAAGACCATAACTAATGTCGCAACAGGTCCTTTTCCTCATCGGCTTGACGTTAATCATTGGAGTTCAACGGACACTCGCTTTCTTTTCGCGCCGCCAAAAACTCAAGGGCACTGCCGCTTTCGCAGCAGGCATCCTCCTCATCCTGTTTCGCTGGCCACTGACAGGTTTCCTGATCGAATTATACGGTCTCTTCATCCTCTTTGGCGATTTCCTCGTAACAATCGGTCAATTTGCAGGGAACATCCCGGTCGTCGGCCCTTATATCAAGACGGCATTGGAGACCCTGGCCGGTGGGAGACGGAACGCAGAGCTCCCGGTATAATAACTACAACGCACGCCAGAGATCGTCTGTCCTTGGGCGCGAGTCTTCCCCCAAGGAGGGCAAGGAGTATCGACGATGTTACGTGTACGACTATACAGACATGAACGATTTCAGACGGCCATGACACGGCATAAAAATCACGACCACTTTCGCAGCTTCGCTTCATGGGAGGTTGAGCGAGGCCAAAAGGGATGGGTCTGTATGAGCTGATGTGATATAACTCTTATACTTTTGTAATTACTAATCCTTCGTGCGTCGGTAGCAGTTTCCTGCCACCGACCCCTATCTTTCTTCGATGCGCTATATAATACATAGAACAGAAATAGTCAAATCCAACGCTTGTGTACATCGTAGATCATGAATAAGCGCTTGGGCATATTCATATGATTCAAACATTGCCATCTCTAGAATCGCGAGTGTACTAAAACCAGTACATATTGAAGATATCTACGTGCTATGGACAGTTAAGACATGACGCTGAGAAGAAAGGTCACCAGCATAGTTTCACATCCGACTAAGGAAAAAGTGGTACACCGCTCTTCTGCCGTTTCGGAATAAAAAAGATATAGAAAATCGAACAATCAAGACAACTTCATTTTCCGCGCTCCTCTATCGTCTACCGGGGGTTGTTGATGTAGTCGACGAGGTTCTCGACAACGGCTGCGGCGTTGGTGGTCTGGACGGCCTCGCCGTGGTGGGCCACCATGACGCAAGAGACGGCCTTGACGACGACGATACCCTCCTTGCCCTATAGTGACCACCGTTAGCATTCACTATTTCCCCAATCGTAACCTCAAAGGTCGATAACTGTATATGACGATATAGTTGGTTACCTTCTTGCCGTAGAGACTGCGGTCATCAGCCCGGATGGCGACGAACTTGTCTCCTCCGACCACGAAACCGGTTTCGAAAGCACTGCCAGGCTTGTCGAAAGCAGCCTTCAGACCGGCGATTTCCTCCTTTGAGATCTATAGCGAGGCGAGAAAGTTATTGATGTGCTGAGGAGAGTGTTTGTTTGCGTGGACATTGCCAGGAATTGGGCCGGAGCTCCGCCAAATGGGATGCCAATGTCGGAACGTTCTTCATACCTGGAAATTAGGGGACTTGGCCTCGACGTCGGAGAAGTCGTAGCTCAGGATGGCGGCCTTGTCAAACTGGCCGGAGCCCATCAGACTGGTAGATTTGGCTCAAGTCAGAAAAAATGCGGACGAAGAAGATTGGTGATGCAGCGAAGGCGGGGTAGAGGTGGGATTGTACGGTACCTGGAATCAACATATCCTGTTCGGTAGAATTCAGACGTTAGTTTTGTTTTATCTTCTGTAATAACCATAGAGGATTGCAAATCCTGCTAAAGTATATAACGACATGTCCAACCAAATAGCCGTACCTTGCCAAACTGCCGAGTGCTGACCCATGTTGGCGTTCGTGTAAACAAATTAACGGGATGGAGCGGATAAGGGGAAGCTATATTGCTCGAGTCGTTAGCTAAGACAAGCCAAGAGGGATGGACCAGCAGGGATTAGACTGACGGAAAGAAGAGGGAAGAAAGCGACAAGAAGTCCCAGCAAAAAGTTGGAGATGATGATGGTGGTTGTGGGTTGAAGAGGGGAAGAGCACAAGGTGATATTTAGAGTGGTGGGCGAGAGAGACAGCAACGACAAGCTAAGGTAGGTAAAGTCAGGTTAAGGTGGGGTGGGCTATCCGTCTGGGAGGCAACGCCCCGCCATTCTTCTTCGTGATGGTAATACTGAGAGGGTAGAGAGTCAGCGAGCCCGTGACTGACAATTAATTCCATTGCTCGCTATCATAATATTAACCAAAGTCTCATCATTCTATAGCCTGTTGATATATTAACCCTCCAAGCGTACACTGGTACTATCCAGCGTCTTCATCCTGTCACTCTCAGCAGTTGTATCACAACAGCTCTAGTTTGAAAGGCAACCACCTTAGTTGACGATAGTTGCTAGGCTATTCTGCTGCTTTGTCTAAGTATGTGCAAGTCTCTTTCCACAGTTCCACTTTGAACAGAAACCCAGCAACACCCACCGATCAACAGAGTTTGTCTTTGGCCTTCCCACTATTTCTTGCTGTCATCAACAGGGCCTTCTTCACCGCCTGTTCTGGTCTGAACTGTTTTAGTCTCGTCGATGGATGCGCCCGACTCTCGTCATACTGAAGCGTTGCTCGGCACCTATCTTGGGATGTCGTAGCCTAAGTACTCGATATCTTTGTCTCAATGGGGTCATGGATTTGTATGGAGCACGTGCCTGTCCTCGTCTGTACACTAGTCAGCCAGTCACGCGGCGATCATGTGTCTCTCTCTTTGGACTAGACTTGGACTCATTTGACAGAACTGGCCAGCTCACCTTTAACTCTGCAATGGCCTCGGAGACATCTTACCACGACTCTATCGTGTAGATGACCCTACCATTCCCTATGTCGCTTCATGTAAGAATAGACGATGACACGGGAAAATATTAGTGATAGCGACAATACGATGCAGGGCGCTTTTCATCTAGTGACACAACATTCGCAACCGAAATAGCTACACGGGATGTGTTTTCATCGCGAGGTTCATAATTGCCTTGCCAGAGAAATAACCACCTTTATTGCAATCTCACGTGAAGGGAGACATCTATGTCCCAAATCATTGTCCGTTGCGAAAATCCTCCCTGAAGTTTCCAGACCTCAGCCTTATTGCAGGATCATAGAGTGACAACTGACAAAAGACCTGTGCTGTCCATGGCAGCTCCTGGCGCTTAGCATATATCTACTTGTTGATTATCACGCTTCTCCCACGATTGCCAAGGTACCACGACTGCCAATTCATTACGTGGACGGAGAGGACAGCCCGGGATTTTAGCCAGATGTGTGAGATTGAAACTACCTTAGTCTCTCGGGTGTTGAGAGATCATTGGCTGATCCACCGTTGTTTCAGAAAGAATGAAACTTCGCACTTCAATGTCTCGGGCATCCTTCATTTGATGTTGTTATTGGTACGCCAGCGGAATACCCGAATCTTGCTGGCCCGTGGTTCGACGTTTGATGATTTGACTCGAATTCTGCGACAACTTTCGAGACTGCAATCAAATCAAGCATCCTCTGCGACACTTGATGGCGTCCCGGGCTGATTGCAGTGTGCGCTGATGCACTGGCATCGCTCAGCGCGTCCCTTCCCCCGACGATGCTGGTCAGATGGACAGTATACAGCTCGCGCTACACAGATTATTCGGTTGATCGTCTCTTGTCCCGAGGCGGCGCTAGATGAAGTGTCCCTTAGATAAATATCTGATGGCGTCGTCAAATCTACATTTAATCT